GATGAAATTTAGGCAGCGTAAGGAAGTATTTTATTATCCGGAGTTCGGTCCTTTGATAGAAAATATACAGGAAGTATTTATAGACTCTAGGAGCTAGTATTCTAGGAGGAAACTGATACAATAGATGCTATTAATTATATTCTAGTCGAATAGAACTCCTGTAACGTCTTGGACGTTGTGCAATGATTATCTCCTTTAAGTCCACGATCTTGTGTTCATTCCTGCCTGCTGCCAGATAGCTATGCTCGAATGATAGCCTGCCACGTAAGCCCCAAGAATATCCCGACCTCACCAGAATTCCGCCCAGGCTCGAGGTCTGCTGTCCAGCCTGGCCTGGTTGTGAGTTCCTGTCATGGTCCTGATTCCTAATTAGGCCCAGCGTCTAATTAATATTCATCCCGTTATGGGCTACTCCTGCTTATAGGCTAATCCCGTTGAGGGCTGATCCCGTTATGGGGTAATCCCGTTATGGACTGAATTTCATAATTGGGTCATGGTCCGGGTCTATGGTACCACCAATTCACAATATATTATTTATTGGGTTTAATTGTATGTTATATGATATCTTATATATAGGCCCAGATATTAGTGGTCCTATGAATATTAATTTGAGTGGGCTAATATGTTATCTAATAAGGTATAGAGCCCAAATGTGTAGAAACACATGGCTTTAACCTAATTAATGATGGACTGATTAGAGTTAAGCATTATCTATAAACAGAGTGGTTATGGTCCCTAGTTGAACACGTCATTCCGTCTTTTTGCATTCAACGCTAGAGAGATCATTCCTGAGGGTGTGTATCAACAAGAAGACGCAAACCCTAGCATCCGTCTCCCGGATTCTAAAGATCTTCTCCAATGGAGTCAGGTAGGGGTGGGCGCGGTCCTGAACGGTCCGGTAAACTAGTAAAACCTATAATGTATCTGTTAGGTTTGTAACGGTCCGGTACGGTCCGGTTTCAAGGATGGAACCGTTCGGTACCATGCCGTTTCAGAACGGTACAAAACGGTACGGTACAATGCCAAACACATGCTAAAAAATTTGAACAAATCTTGCAATTGGTAGATATCTTCACACCAACCAACTCGCATGAAATGTCAATATAAATACAATAAATTGCATATGTAGTACTAAAGTTCACAAATACACAAATAGTGCAGCACAACTAAGAAAAAGTATAGCAAAATGATGACGCACGAGATAAATATCATCTTTAATTTATTTACTAAGTTCATGTGAAAATATGAAAAAGAATATCATCAAATTGTTGAATATAATTGAAATCTTCAATGTTCTTCTTCTTCGTGCTAGGTTAAATATTTCTTTGTAGTTCTAATTTAATTTAGAGTTAAAACTTGAGAGTTAAGATATAAATCATATTAATTAAATTGTAAAATTGTGCAAACATGATATATACTACAAAAAGTCATGTACATAAACATTACTAGCAAACCATTACTAGAAATGAATAGTCCTTAATGATTTCTAAAATGTTAATATTCTTTCAATACATATCAAAATACGTAGTATAACATAAATTATCTAAAAATAAAAATAACAATATATTATATAAACACACATGACGAGCACTTTGTCACGGTGCGTCAAAATAAATTCAATACTAACACTTATACGTAGTATAGCGTAGTAGAGTTCGTATCCACAGGGAAAGGAATAATTCTCTTTTTATAAAACTAGTAAATAAAAAGGGGGGTTTTGGGATTGAATGATTTAACTTAATTAAACATAAAGATGAACAACTTAATTTAAAGATAAAAAGGACTTGGCATTGCTACTTTCCACTTGTTGATATATTTTAGTCGATCATTGTTATATCTATAACTAATCCCCTCTCGAATACTCAATCGAGGAGTATATCCAATTCATCGAGGGTAGTTATTAACAACGACCGTTCATTAATAACCCTTACTATTAGTCATGTATAGAACACCGCCATATACCGACTTAATAGTAGCATTTAATCTCTTAACTCCTTGATGAAATCAATTGAGATTGATAACCTCAACACAACGGTTTCGGTTTAACCAACAAAATTAATCCCTCTTAAGTTTATTAACCACGACCGTGCATTAATAAACCGAAGTTACTTACTTGTGAAACCATCAACGATTAACCATCGGTTCGTTGATCGTTTCTAGTAGTAATTAATGTCGAGATGTTAACTAATTGTCATCTTAGCAACACTCCCCAACATTAATATAGAGATAGATTAAGGGAAAAATTAATATTCAAGGAAGAAGATTAAATATGAATAATCCTACTATAACTAATGTCAAGATGTTATCTAATTGTCATCTTAGCAACACTCCCCAACATTAATATATAGAGGAAGAAAATAAATACTACTATAACTAATGTCGAGATGTTAACTAATTGTCATCTTAGCAACACTCCCCAACATTAATATATAGATAGATTAAGAGAATAATTAATATTCAAGGGAAGAAGTTAAGAAACTAACTTACAACTTTAATAATCAACAAGCTTCAAGAGCAACACCAAGAAATGGAAGTTTAGCTCCTCATTTGGAGACTAAACATGCTATAAAAATATAAAAGAAATACTATTCTAAACTGAGCTTAGGAGTATGGAAGAAGGAGTTGATGATTTGTGAAGGAAAATGGGGCTATTTATAGGTGTTTTTCAACACCTTTGGCCGGGTACCCGACCGGGTAAAGTGCCCACCCGACCGGGTGCATGTCAAAATCAAATATCTTCCACGTTCTGGCGATCTTCGGCACGTTCTGGTGTTCCGGGTCAAGTCGGACCCGACCGGGTGAAATACCTCACCCGACCGGGTGATGTAATTTCCTGAGCAGTTTCGCATTTAAATTTCTCACCCAACCGGGTGCAATACCTCACCCGACCGGGTGATTGTCCTGGGCAGCCAAGAATTATTTTTCTTCACATTCAAAGTCTTCCTTTCCAACACCATAAATCCTAACTCTACTTTACAACTTACAAATGAGAACTAAAATACAATTACAACTAAAATCACACAAATGTTTATAAACTAAATAAAATGGTAAACAATCCACACAAATCAAACATAAAAAGACACATTTATGCACTACTAATTAGTGCATATCAACACACATTTAGCTAGTTTAGGAATGCATGAATACATACTTGGGCTATAAAATTGTTTATGTATAAAAGAGATCTATTGGTTTAGAAAAATTATAAAAAATTCAAATGCATTATTTTCAAACGGTTCGGTCCGGTATTTTTCGGTTCTCAAAATCTAGGACCGGTCCCGTACCCGTTTCAAACGGTTCGGTTTCGGTACGGGACAAAAATCTATAGAACCGTTTAAATACCCGGCATTCGATTCGGTACCATTACGGGACGGCTCGGTACCGGTTCGGGTTTTATGCCCACCCCTAATAAAGTCAGGTATGCTTACGCTCAGTTAATTCTCTAGATAATTTGAATATGAAAATTAAAGTACTAAGAATTATACCAAATGGCATACAGAATGCGATTTTCTCTACTAAATGAACTGGTAATTGTGGATTGTTTTGACTTTTGAAGTATCAAACCGACTCTATATTTTCTTATAAAAAGGCACACATGCAAATCTGGTAGCCATCATTATAAATTAGCGAATCCAGCATTTGTACCTTCTTTCCCAACCAATGGCCTGAGAATGAGGTGTCCAGCACAAGGTTAGCATAGGAGTGTAATGATGAATCTGGAGGCACGAATGGCTGTAGGGCCTAAAGCACTATGTAAAACAAAAGCAATGAAAAAAAGAGCCGACCCTAAGCGTGGACTTTGGAAGCCCCGTATAACGGTGACGGAACGGAACTGGAACGAATGAATTCTTTTGTATCGTGGAAAAAAGTGAGTCACTGCTGCTGACTTTTCGTTCATTAGCCCTCTCCAAACATTAAAAGTTGTCAAATGAGATTTACCGGAGTTAACGGATGCAAACTTGCAAAGTTTCGTTGATTTCTTACTTGACAATATTTGAATTGGTATGAGTTATCCAAATATTCTTACGAAATAAAGATGCCAGTGCTAGCTGGAGTGCCACATCAGACAAAATATCTTTAACTAATTAGTTAATTCAGTTTTGTTGTAATGATCAGATTAGTTAGACTTTTATACTCGTCTATATCCTTTGTATATAAGACACGGAATCAACAACCGAATGAATTGAACTTCTTCTTCCTCACAATATTTTTTCTATCAAGATAACTTTTGTAAGATGGTATCAGAGAGATGACAAGAAGAAGCTTCGTTGTTGTCCTTGATGATTGATGCTAGGAATAATCGATCTGAAAAACGATTAATTCGCTGTTTCGCAGACAAAATCAATGGCTGATGATCCGAACAGTCCCTACTATCTACATATCAGCGAAAATCCAGGTTTAATCCTTGTAAACCCTCTTCTGAATGAATCGAATTATCACTCCTGGTCCAGAGCCATGAAAATGGCTCTCCTCTCTAAAAATAAATGGAGTTTTGTTGATGGAACCATTTCAATTCCATCCAAAAATGATTCTACTTACGCTATTTGGCAAAGATCCAACAATATGGTTGCTTCATGGCTTGTTAGAGCTGTATCTCCTTCTATAGCACAGAGTATTTTGTGGATTGAAAATGCTATAGATATTTGGAAAGATCTAAGTGAGAGATTTTCTGAAGGAAATGCTTTCAGATTGTCTGATTTACAGGATGAGATCAGCTCACTACGACAAGGAAGTCTAAGTGTAACTGAGTATTATACTCAACTAAGACTCCTTTGGGATGAAATGATGTCTATAAGGCCTTTACCTGTCTGTACCTGTAACCCTAAATGCAGTTGTGGAGCAATGGCTAAGGTGATTGAGTATGCTGAAAATGATAAGGTCATGCGGTTTTTAAAGGGACTCAATAGTGAATACATGACTATTAAATCTCAAGTCCTTCTGAATGAACCTCATCCTGGAATAAGCAAGGTTTATGGCATGGCCATCAAATTGGAACGTAAGATTGTTACTGGAGAATCTGAACAATCTGATTTGATAATACATGCAAATGCCATTGGATCAACCACATCAAATGTCAATAACGTCAGTGGGAACTTCAAGAAACTTGGAGGGTTTGGTGCAGGAAAGAAGCCCAAGTGCACTCATTGTAACAAAACAGGACATACTGTGGATAAATGCTATCATCTACATGGTTTTCCTCCGGGTTACAAATTTAAGGGGAAACAAGATGAAGGTCATAAGTCAACGGCTTACACAGTAGGAATTGAACAGCTTGGATTTACTAGTGAACAAATTCAGGGGTTGATGAAATTTCTACAGCAAAAGCCAAAACAAGAAATCACAAGGCAAGAAGGACCTGCAATTGCATCTGTCACCAGACAAATGACAGAACAAGTTGGATCTGTGAATGATCATGTTTCAGGCAAGTATGCTTCTCTAATCAATGCTAATGAAGTATTGAATAATGATCACACAACTTGGATACTTGACACTGGAGCAACTGATCACATCACGTGTAATCTGAAATGTTTTTATTCCTATGAATCTGTTAGTGGAATATATGTAAGATTACCAAATGGAACTCATCAAATAGTCAGTCATATTGGAAAGGTCAAGCTCAGTGAGAAAATATGGATAACTGATGTTTTGTACATACCGACATTCAAATATAATCTCATCTCAGCTAGCAAGTTAACTAAACAGTGCAAGTGTTGGCTAACTGTACTTCCTGATTGTTGTTTGATTCAGGAAACCTATGGGGGGATGATGATTGGTACAGCTAAAGAGCACAATGGCCTATACCATATGAAGCAGACTATAAATAGTTTTCATATGAATAATTGTAATAATGTCATGCTTTGTAATAATGTCAGTGGACAATTATGGCACTATAGACTTGGACATGCTCCATATAGTAGGTTGTCACATATTCCGTGTATTGATCTCAAATCAAGAGGCACTAAAGATTTTGTTTGTGATACTTGTCATTTTGCCAAACAAAAGAAGTTGCCCTTTCCAGTTAGTGTGACTGTTTCTAAAGCATGCTTTGATCTCATTCATGTGGATATCTGGGGACCATTTTATGTAGCTTCATTGAACAAAGAATGTTATTTCCTCACAATTGTTGATGATTGTAGTAGGTACACATGGATTCATTTAATGAAGTGCAAATCTCAGGCTAGGAATATATTGCAGAATTTTTGCATTTTTGTAGCCACACAGCATGAAGTTTCTGTGAAGGCTATAAGAAGTGATAATGGAGGGGAGTTTAATATGCCAGAATTCTATGAATCAAAGGGAATTGTTCATCAAAGATCTTGTGTTGAAACACCTCAGCAGAATGGACTTGTTGAAAGAAAGCACCAGCATATTCTGACAGTAGCTAGAGGATTAAGAATACATGCAGGGCTGCCAATGAAATTCTGGGGGGAATGTGTTTTACACAGTGTATATCTTATCAACAGAACACCCACACCTCTCCTAAAGGAATTAACACCTTATGAAATTCTGCATTCACAAAAGCCTGATTACTCCAATCTAAGGGTGTTTGGATGTCTATGTTTTGCATCTACATTGATTCAAGGAAGGCACAAACTTGATGCTAGAGCCAGAAAATGTATCTTTATTGGATATGCTGCAGGCATGAAGGGCTTCAAAGTGTATGACCTTTCAACTGAACAAGATATAATATCAAGAAATGTTCAGTTCTATGAGAATGTTTTTCCATTCAGAAATCAGAATGAATTATGTGGAAATCCAAATAAACAAGTGGTGGTTCCAATGGTTGACAATGAGACAGCATTGGACTTTACAGAAAACCATCAGAACAATCAAACCACTGAAAATATGGATTCATCCAGCAACACACAGAATGAAAATGAAGAAAATCAGCCCCCAATACTCAGAAGGTCAACCAGAGCTACTAAAGCCCCTACCAGATTGCAAGACTATCATTGTAGTCTTGACAGCCAGAAGAGGACATCTCCACACTCCATAGCACAAGTCATGACTTATAATCATCTATCAGACTCTCACAGAGCCTTCAATACCAATATCACTCTCACAACTGAACCAACAGGACCAAAGGCCTATGAAAAAGCTATCTTGGATCCTAATTGGAGGAAGGCTATGCAAGAAGAAATTAAGGCCTTGGAATCCAATAATACTTGGATTATCACCAAGTTACCTGCTGGAAAAGAGGTTATAGGCTGCAAGTGGGTTTATAAAGTCAAGTATAAACCTGATGGAAATATTGAGAGATATAAGGCAAGGTTAGTGGCAAAAGGTTACACTCAACAGTTTGGAGTTGATTATCTAGAAACCTTCTCACCTGTTGCACGGATTACCACTATCAGGACCCTACTTGCTGTATCTGTTGCAAAGGGTTGGTATTTACATCAATTGGATATCAACAATGCTTTTCTCCATGGAGATCTAGATGAAGAAGTCTACATGGAATTGCCACCAGGTTATAAAAGCAAAGAGAATGGTCAGGTTTGCAAACTATTAAGGTCCTTGTATGGGTTAAAACAAGCTAGCAGACAGTGGCATGCAAAGTTAACCGGAGCATTAATTAATGAAGGATATAAACAAGGAACTGCTGATCCTTCATTGTTTACCAAAGAGAAGAATTCTTCTTTTCTGGTATTACTCATATATGTTGATGATATAATAGTGGCAGGAAATAATATGGAACTCATTGATGATTTGAAAAAATTTCTTGATATATCCTTCAAGATCAAAGATCTTGGAAACCTGAAGTATTTTTTGGGAATTGAATTAGCAAGGTCTTCCAAAGGTCTACATCTATGTCAACGAAAATTCCTACTGGACATCCTAACAGAAACAGGTTTCATAGACTCTAAACCTGTTGCCACTCCTATGGTCCCAGGAGATAAGTTGTATCACAATGATAGTACCAGCTTGATGGATATTGGATCATATAGAAGATTGGTGGGTCGACTATTATACTTGACAGCCACAAGACCTGACATCACTTTTGCTGTACAACAACTTAGTCAATTTATTGACAGTCCCACTGAACATCACATGCAAGCAGCTCACAGAGTTCTCAGGTACTTGAAATCATCTCCAGGAAGAGGGGTATTTTATTCATCTAATTCAACATTCCACATGCAAGCATTTGGAGATGCTGACTGGGGGGCATGTATAGACACTAGAAGATCAGTTTCTGGATTCTGCATCTTCCTGGGAAACTCTCTTATTTCCTGGAAATCTAAGAAGCAACCAACTGTTGCAAAATCATCCTCAGAAGCTGAATATAGAGCATTAGCTATGCTAACATGTGAAGTCCAATGGCTGAGATATCTTCTACAAGACTTAAAGGTTGAATTGAACAAAGTTCCCACATTATATAGTGACAATAAATCTGCCATAGCCATCTCAGAAAATGCTGTGTTCCATGAAAGAACGAAGCACATTGAAATAGATTGCCACATAATTCGTGAACATGTTCAGAAGAAAAACCTCAAGTTACTCTTCATTCCATCTTCAGCACAACTTGCAGATGGGTTTACAAAACCATTACAAAAGGCACCCTTTCAGAAGTTCATTTCTAAGCTGGAACTCCTAGATATCTACGCGCCAGCTTATGGGGGGGTCTTACGAAATAAAGATGCCAGTGCTAGCTGGAGTGCCACATCAGACAAAATATCTTTAACTAATTAGTTAATTCAGTTTTGTTGTAATGATCAGATTAGTTAGACTTTTATACTCGTCTATATCCTTTGTATATAAGACACGGAATCAACAACCGAATGAATTGAACTTCTTCTTCCTCACAATATTTTTTCTATCAAGATAACTTTTGTAAGAAATATGCACATTCATAAATTAGGAAATTACAAAATTTGATGCACATTAGAATTGAATGAAAAGGATTGCGTTGATTCAGGTCAAAGGAGAACGCTGGCCAGTTCCAAATCAAAATTGGATTTTATTTTGTACCTCAACTATTACATTTATGTCATTTACCTCAACTCCGTAATTGTTTATGTGAGTGTAATTTTGGTGTAAAGAAGTTGGCATTGGTTTCAGAAAAAGCAAAGCAAAGGAAAGCAAAGATTGGATGTCTGAGTTTGTAGGAATCAATGCCTGCCTGCACTGTGTTAGTTTAATGATGTTCTTGTCTGTAGCGTGCAAGTCAATGCTTTATTCGGGAGAAATAGAATCCAAAGCTGATTACTTTTGCTTTTGTCAATCCTTAATTGCCTCTGCGCGGAGATTGGATAGCCTGTTTAGTTGGACGGTTTCCACGCTTTCCTTGTGACCAATTCAAGTTTAACCAACCCTATCATAATTCCTATACACATTGTCCCTCTGCGTCCATTTAGCCGGACATCTATGATCTATGGAGAAATTGGAGATCAGAAAGAATTTTTGGATTATGGGTAGCTCATGTGTCTCATTGGATTTTGTCAACTTTGTAGTCAGCTTTGTATTGAATGTGAATAAGAAAAGAAAAAACTATATGGTTGATGTTTATATAAAGAAAGAAATAAGTTGGATCACAAATTTGTTGCTTTAAGAAAAAAGTAACAAAGTTTTGTTTATAAACAAAAGAAAAAGAAATTCGATAAAAATAACGGGACAGAGGAAAATAAGTGATACTCCGTATATAAGTCATAGTTTAAGACATGCTTGAGATAAAATATGGACCATTACAATAATATGTATTGATTTTTTTAAAATCTTTTGTCACACAATATTATTACATCTCTACTCCAATTTAAATGATGACACCCCATTCCTAAGGCCCCTAGCATCGGCCGGCCAATTACTAGGAGAATGTAATTAGGATGTAACTCAAGCTCATGACCTCATCTTTAGGGATATAAAAAATGATGTCATTATATGTAACTCATCTTAGTTTGATGATTTACATTATGTTTATATTTTCAAGTTTTAGTTTTTCATTTTGTATTATTATTTTATTTACAAAATAGATTAAAATATATTAGCTTGGTATAATTAGATATTAAAAGTATTTTATTTAGATGTAATTATGTTTTTTCAAAGTATACTAATTAGACTATCTATTTTATATTTATATAAGTAAAAAAGACATATAGAAGATTAAATTCCATACTTTGTAGTTTGTACTAATTATTTATACCATAAAAACTTTATACAGTACTATATAAGAAGTAAAATATAAATATATTAATAACATACCTCTATTATTTATTTAATATATATATATATATATATATATATATATATATATTTAAATTGTACTAGTTTTGTACATATTAAATATAGTACGTAGTAATTATGTGCACATTATATTGTATAAATTAAGGTGATACATATATGTGTGTATGTATGTTTGTACACATAACTTTCACATTTTAAATATAAAATATAAATAAAATATTTGGAAATAAAGGTAAAGAAATTATTTTATTAATATTTTATTTTTATTTTGAATGAAATGCAAAATAAAAATATTTAATTTTTATATCTAATATTTTCGAACTGTATAATATTTATATTTGCATTTTGTATTTTTTTTCCCCATAATTTTGACATTTTTTAACGGTTGAGGGGGTGATTTGAACTATTCACTTCAGTTCAGGGGTTTATTTGACCTGATGACGTGGCGCTGACCGGATGGTTACCTTCAAATTGTCAAATTTGAAACTTTGTATCCAGCTCAGGGTGCTAATTGGAGCGTTTTTTAGTCCAAGGGGTGAATTGAGCATTATGGACGTGTATAGGGGCCTATTTGACCCTTTAGCCTTTTATCTATTTTCATAATGGTATACTACCTCCGTCCCCTAAGTTTGGGACAAAGAGGTGTGGTGTGATTTTTAAGAAAAAGTAGAATTGTGTGGTTGGTATTGAATTGATAAAATATGAATAAAGTAAGAATGAATTGTAGTCACTCAAATGTTATCAAATATGGTATGAGACAAACTTAATGGGACGGACGAAAA